GGAGATCGGCCTGTAATTTTGCAGTAGTGATTTGTCTAGATTGTTCTTTTTTATCAGTGGTTTGATAACTGCTGTTTTCAAAGCCTGGGGGAAAACACCTGAAGAGAGCGATGAGTTACTATTTGGATCAGATCATTAGCAACGACAGGCAAAACTTTCTTAAAGAAATGTGTGGGTAGGACATCCAGACAGCAAGAACTGGAGCTTAATTGACTTATAATTTCTTCTAGGGTTTTATAATTAAGTAGTTGAAATTGGGTCATTTTTCCTGCATTTGTTTTGTTCGGGCACAGCATTGGTACTGGGTTTGGAGTGGATGTGCAGATTAATCCTCTGATCTTTTGCATTTTCTCTGAAAAGTAACTGGAAAACTTGTTGCAGGCGGCATTAGATTGAAGTTCAGGTGGTGACATCATAGGAGGGTTTGTGAGCCTGTCAACAGTAGCAAATAAAGCTTGAGCGTTGTTAAGGTTTTTGTTTATGACATCTGCAAAGAAAGCCTCTCTTGCATGTTTTAGTGTTGTGTGATAGTTACGTAGTCTTTCTTTGTAGATGTCATAATAAACGTGTAGTTGAGGTTTACGCCATTTCCGTTCGGCCCTACGGCAGAGTTGTCTTGCAGATAGAACTGCTTGTGCATTTTTCCATGGAGATTTCTTCCTACCAGACACAACCTTCACTGTAATGGGGGAAAGGTAATCAATGATAACTGAAAGTTTGCACTGAAAATCATCTACCAACTTATGTACATTATTATAGCTTAAGGGTGAGGAAGAAGAGTAGATTTGATTAAATGTTTCTGCTGTGTTTTCTGTGAAAGTACGTTTTGTGATGATAGCTTTTTGTCCAAGTGAGTTAATGGATACAGAACATTCAAAGATAACAGCAAAGTGATCCGACAGGCCGACATCAGTTACAGAGACATTGGAAATATTCACACCCTTACTGATAACCAGGTCCAGTGTGTGTCCAACAGATGTCCAAGAAAACGTCTCACCAGCTGCTTAAATGAAGAATGAAGTGTGGTTAGAGTTTATTCCTGTTTAAAAATGTGAACGCTTACATAAGCTTTTGATTCAGTCCAACTTTCTTCCCCACTAAATAGTTTTGTAATTAATAAACTGATTATTTCCGTTTTGTTTTGGTGTCACGTCTTAAAGTTGGAATACCAGAATCTGAATCTTTTTAGATCATATCTGTATTTTGATATTTCATGAGAAAGATAAGAAAATAATCTGATGCTAAATGAAGTCACATCAGCAGTGTAAATAGAAAGAAACCGGTTTGGCAGCCTCACTGCATATTTCCAGTAATAGCTTTGCTTACAAAGGTGAATGGCATCTGTGAAGGAAAAACCCGGTGCTGCAACTTTTTATTACAATACCTGAATCGTGAAATGCAATCAGATAATCAACAGCATGTTTGAATTATTTGATCTTAGCAAATTGTAATTATGAAAAATAAGTGTCAGTGGTTTAAATGGTTGGTTTTTGTGTTATTGAATATGACCAGATATATCTGTGTTGGTTTCTTTTTCTAAACATGTGCATATTAACATTTAAAAATGTTTTGATGATTTTAAAGTGCTAACACTTTAATAGATTTTTTCCAGCAGTTATTTTCTCTTACATGCCCTTTATGTATCTATGGAGCTTATTTAGTTGATAAGGTTATGGAAAATGGAAGTAAGATCTTGTACTTAAAACCAGTCGAGTCAGCTGTATGTACTGATATGTGAGAAAAATATGTAAAATATAATGTAAGAAAATGTTTTTTTAAATATCCAGTCTTGAAATAATTACTTGTAATATTTCAGTTTATCCTGAATGGTGAATTATTTGTTGTTTTTTTACCTTACTTTATCTTTTCTCTTGTGACCTCATTTTCTTTTAGGAATTGGACAATAACAACACTCAGTAATGACATGTCACTCCCTTTTTATTGTTGTGGGAGGAGCATTCCACAACCTTATCCAGGTGTGCTAACATGAGATTACCTGTATGTGCAGAACAGAGTGAAGGACAACACTATTCACCATGGATGATAAAATCATAATTTTCTTTTGCCTTCTTGGATTTATTCATGCAACTTTGGGACAAGGTAGATATTCACAATACATTCTGCTTTTGTTATTGTTTGTATTCTTCATATAACTTATAATAATAATGAAAAAATAGGGTTTATCAACCTTGAAAAAATGAAAATATTTTCTTTAAAGTAGTTAAACATTTTATAAGAGTGAATACATTTATTGGGTTAATTTAAATTAATAATGCCTGGTTTTTTAAATTGTCGGCTCATTTTCAAAACTTGAGCGACATGACGATAAAGAAAATCTCAGCTATAACCAATTTGAATGTGGGATTTATCGTGTCCAGCCACACAAACTGATTTTTACTCAACAAAGTTCAGATCAGACAGAAACTCTCACAAACCCAAACATGGCTGACAGGAAAGAGACAGTTTGTGGACTAAAAATGTGTTACATTTTTTATATACATTTACACAATTGACAACAGAACATTTTCAGAGACAGGTAATTAAACACTAAAAAATAAACAAAAATGATTTGTTAGAGCCCATTTCCAAACTTTATGTATTTTTTTTATCACATATATGGACAGAAATAAACTGTAACAATGTTTCATCTCTGGCTGAAAAGATCAATTTTGTCTGTAATATATGCTATCATTTTTCCATCATATAATTGTTTTTAGTTTCTGTTTCCACTCAGTTACAGTCGATGATGTCACATTTTTCCAACTTATAGTTAAAATCTTTGATCATCAATAAAATCTATAGAATGTATTTTTCTTTGGTCAGCATTTAAAACTTCAATTGACATAACAGAGGAAAGAAAATAGGGACTTCTCTTTTACAAATGTTCTCAATCTCTTCCTTAATATTTTTTCAGAACTTAAAAATGACTCGTCAATCAAAAATAAAATATGTGAGATCAACTGTTTTGCCACATTGTCTCAAACATAAAGCCACTGAAAAATCCTTTACATATTTTGAGTTTTGAGATTCCAGCTGAATTTTTTCCACTGTTTGCTATTCCCAAATTTCTTTGACATAGTTGGTAATTGTAAGACTGCTGAAAGTCTTTTCAGCAGAAAAGACTTTGTCTCCCATGTTTTTACATGGGGCTGCAGGGAGACATGTTTTTACACAGTTCTAGACGTCTCTCTAGAACTGTACAGAAAAATTATTTGATAACACTTTGAAGTTTGTGGACTACATCTGCCAGAGAAAAATCAATGTCTATCGGGATTTCTGTATTTTGTCTTCCGTGTACTTTAGATTCGATCACCTCACATTCTGATTGGCAACATGTCACAAACCACAAAGACATCGGGCCAAGGAAATCTAACATGTTGAAAATATTTAAATTGGAGAAACTTAGACGTCATTCCAATCATTCTCACCATGCTACATATAGCAGATATCTCTCATAAAACTGTTTTAAGAATCATTCAAAAATATTCAGGAAGTTCTTAAGATGGTACAAGGAGGGAAATGAGGGAAAACACATCTGAATGAAAATCTTCCAGTGTAAACAAGAAGCAAGATTATCAGTACAGAGTGATAACAAAATCTATATGTTGATGAAATGTAACTACGATTGCAGCCTCAACAACTACAACTATGGGTCCAACAACTACAACTGCAGCCCCAACAACTACAACTTCAGCTTCAACAACTACAACTGCAGCCCCAACAACTACAACTGCTTCTTCAACAACTATAACTGCAGCCCCAACAACTACAACTGCTTCCCCAACAACTACAACTGCAGCCCCAACAACTACAACTGCTTCCCCAACAACTACAACTGCAGCCCCAACAAC